AGGGCAGAAGCAGGGGCCCAGCGAGCTCCCTGCTCTGCACCGGGGAGTTTCGCCCCAGCTGTTTTCAAGGCAGCTTTCAAAGCAGTCGCTCCCGGCCCGTGCTCAGGCTCCTACTACAAGCAAAAGTCTCGCCCAAGACAAGACCCATCCATCTTACTCTCAGCCCGACCGTGCGGCTAAAAATAAGCCAATAAAGTAGCAATCACCTTGGAGCAGCAGCAGTTCTATTAAAGCGGAGCGAGCTGTGGCACCTGAGCCCCAGCTCCACGGCACACATGAGCCAGAACCCCGGGAGCCTCCTCCTGCCCCACAGCCCCAGCAGCTCCCAGTGCTGCCCCACAGCCCCACGCTCCTGCCAGCCCCCGGCTCTGCCTTGCTGGGCTTCTCCAGAGATGCTCCTCACTGCCCCGCACAGCTCTGCGCCTCTGGCACCGATCCTGCCTGCCAGGAGGAGGAGAGGAGAGGGGCTTATTGCAGAAGCAATTGCTTTGCACCTCTCCGCTGTCCCAGCGACTCTCGGGGCCCAAATTGCTCATCGGGACTCCTCCACCCGCCGCCTGCCCTGGCTGCAGGGAACCCACGTTCATTGGGGTTGCTCATGTGCCTCTTCCCCTGCAGATGTTGGCCGAGGGGCAGATCCATCCTGATCTGATGTGCTGGATGTTTGCATCAGTTTCCACTGCAAACGCTCATTTGTCATGTAGATCTCCTGGCATTTTTTTAAAGGGTAGATTAATTTAGGGGAGCTCTCAGATCCAATTTCCTCTGGCAATGGCTCTATTAGGCTGTGCACAGCAGAGATACAGGCTCCCATCCTCCTGCTGCTACTGATGGAATTTGATTCCGCACTGCCAAATCTGCAGGGCTGCAAACACATTCTCACTCTTGATTAATGTGAGTAATTTCTGCTTGAAAGAAGGTTGAAATGAGCAGCCAAGGGGAAGCGAACGGTGAGGGTTCCCCCCCACTACCCCTCCTCCTCCCCCATTCCTCACTGCTGTTTGCATTTTACCAGCTCTGGCATGGGCTAACAGATAAACAGAATCGCTGGCCCCGTTTCAAGAGCAGCAGAAGGTGCGGGAGGCGGGGGGCACCTCGGCACAGGCGGGATGCTGCTCTGCTATGGCTCGTGTAATGCAAGGGGCGAGGGATGGGCGAGGGATTGCCCCCCCACCCCCAGAGCTGGGGCAGGGAAGGGACCCCGGGCTGGGGGACAGCTCTGCCCTGACCCCGTTCACCCACGCTGCGTGGCAGGGGGTGGCACGGGGAGGGGGGGGGAACACATGGGGTGCACACAGGAGGCACGGGGAGGCTGGTTGTGAGGGGCAGGTGGGTGGAAATGTGAGGGGACGGGGTCCCACCTGGGGGGCAGGTGGGTCTGTACATGGGGGAGAGTGGTCCCCCATGCCTGGCTGCAGGGGGGGGGGCAGGGGTGCCCTGCCTTTCCCCACGCAGACGCTCCAGGGCACAGTGGTCCTGCCCCCAGCCTGGGTTTGGTCGGTCCCTGCTTTGCGAAGCGACGCTGTCAGCAGGGCCACACTGAGGCCAAGATGCTGAACATCTCCCCAACCCTGGCTCTCCATCCTGCCCCAGCCACGGGTCCCCGTGGGTCCCCCCTGCTCCCACGCAGCCAGTCGCTGCAGGGTCTCCCTGCTTCCCTGCACAGCGTTCACACCGTCTGCTTTCAATTCCTTCAGGCACATCACCTGGGGCTGGCCTGGGGACCTGAGATGCCTGCACAGATCTCTGAACGGTTTTGGAGAGGGAGAGCCAGTTCCTGACGCCAACACAGTGAGTACCCCCTGCCTCAGCATCCCTGCAGCACCCAGAACACAAAAAACCTGCCCCACAGTCAGGGTCTTTGTAGGACACCACAGTAGCACCATTAATAATGGGAGTTTTTCCCCAGCGAAACCCCGTCCCCTACATCCTCTCCCTCAGGAGCAGCGATGGCTTTGCATCTCCTTTTCAATTTATTTTTATAAGGAAGGAGGGAGAGAGAGTCACATCCTAATCTGGCAAAATGTCAGGGAGTGATTCAGAGAAGAGGCGAGCAGCAGAAAGAGGCAGCCCACACAGGAGAGTTGTTTCTGATTTCCAAATGTCAGCATGTCCTTTAATTAAATGCTGATTAACAGGGGACGTGCTCCCTTGCGCTGGAACCGGGGCTGTTGCTGGTAACATCGCGCTCCGCAGAGAGCCCGGGCGCTGCCGCCGGCCTGCTCGCACCCACGGGGTGAGCTGCCCTCCACGCCGGCGAGGTTGGACATCCCCCAAACCTGGCCCTGCCTGAGCAAAGCAGCCTTGCCCCAGGGCTTGCACCACACCGAGGGCACCAAAAGGTGCTGGTTCTGCTGCTGCACGGCTCAGCAAGCCTCTTGCGCCCAGATCCCCACTGTCATGTCTAGTCTCTGAGCTGGGATTGTGCCTGTGATATTTTTTTTTTTTTTTTTGTCTCCAAGTGGAAGTTGCATTGGATGTAGTTTAGTGAAACTGGATGCAAACACTGATGTGGATGCTCTTACTTTAGTCCGAGCAGCTCTTTTCTTCTTCAGCTTCTGTCTGTTCTCTGTACACTAAAGCTAGGCTGCAAAACTGTTATTGCATTTGGGACCTCTGAAAACAACTTATGTACCTAATAATGTCTCTAAGCATGATGAGTTACAATGCTTCCCTTTGTCTTCTCAAGCATGCCTTGTCTTGGAAGTCAGGGGGAGGGTTATCCTTGAGGCTAGGAGGGCTGGGCTGTGCTCTGAACTCTGCCCTGGGGTAGTGGCAAACCCTCGCCGACCCTGGCAGTGGCGAGCAGCACCGTGCCGAGATAACCGGACTGGAAGGTGGCCAGCTGCTTCGGTCCCGGCTGCCACCCAGCCACCTCCAGCTGCTGCTGTCCCCGAGGGCCGGGGCCGATTCTCTCCGGTGGCACGTGGGATGGAGCTGGTAAGCCCGGGCAGCACCGTGCCTCGCTGCGTGCTCCCACAGCCAGTCCTGGCCTGGGGAGCTTTGCATGGGACCTTGCTACGCGCAGCCCCTCCTGGGGAGCTCCACTACGTGCCCTGGGACGGATGGTTGCCCAAGCCCCGCTCTGCTCTGGCCTTCGAGATGTTTCAGGATGGCCCAACCGCAGGTTTTTTCTGGGTGTTATAGGGTTGGGGCAGCCCCACTCCAGGAGCAGCCTATTTATTGAGACTAGAGAGGTAGGTTCTGCTCAGCACCGCGTACATCTGGCTGTCCGGAAAAGCGTACAAAACTCACTAGACTGCACAGAAACTTCTCCCTTTTGCAGCCTCCCGCAAAGACCCATGTCACACTGAGTGCGTGGAGCCACTTGCACAAGCAAAGCCTGCCAAGGAGGTTACAGGGCTGAAGTCATATGCCAGACAAGGCTAAATCTGAAGAAATATCATTAAAATCACACTTTTCAGTGCCAGAGCTGAGAGAAAAAGCTTTTCACTCTTACCCTCCTATCTCCACAGCCACAACTGCTCTGTGTATCCCTCCCAGAACTTACAGAAAGTCTTTCCTCCCTTTTTGTGTTGCCTTCCAGCAGCCAGTGGGCCAGAGGTGTGGGCTTGTGTGGCCAGTGGCTCTGGGTGCCCCGTTTCCCCATGGCCCATGCAATGTGCAGCTCGCAGCAACAAGTGTTTGCTCTCCAGACTCCCACGGCGATGCTGCCTATTCCCAAGCGCCACCTCATGGCATCATCTCCAGAAAGGGTTTGCTAGACAGTATTTATACCAGCACAGCCACAGGAACCAGCTCCGGCACCAGGGAATGTGGAAAAGGAAAATAGGGCCACTGGCTGGGAGCAGCTCTGGTCTCAGCACCCTGCCCCGGGGGTGGGGCAGACCAACGCTGAGCTCAGTGAACACACACACCGGCTACTCTCTTCTTCTCAAGACCACAAAAAGTTCTTCCAAGCTACCCAGGAGGCAGGCAGATCCTGCTAGCCCTGGTTGGGGGATCCCCACAATTCCCCCCTCTTTAATTCTCCTTGACATGCCTGAGAAAACAGCTCTGTGTTTATAAACGTGAGACTGAATTACACATAAATCCTGGGGGCAGCAAGCCCTGAACACCTCCCACACAGCGAGGGGAGAGAAGCCACTTTCTTCCACCGCCAGACAAGGGATTTTGCCGTCCCAGTGTTATCTCCACCTCCCTCTGCCTCCCCAGAGAGGTGTCACCCAGACATTTGCTGGGGAACCTTCAGCTGCAAGAGCCAAGCAGCAGGTCGGATGCCCCCCCAGCCAAAAGGAGAGGGTGTCCCCCAACACAGCAAACAGCCCTGGCTCGCACGACCAGCAAAGAGGCATCCTTCAGCCAGCCTTCTCTTCCACCCCTCTCCCCAAACCAGTGCCTGTTCAGGGCAGGGGTCTTAGGGGAGATGAACGCCGTGCTGGCTCAGGGTCCTCTGTGAGTGTAAAGCCCCGGGAGGGAGGAGGCTCACTCTGCCGACGTCCCTGCTCCACTGCCTCCCCCCCGCTCCCCTTCCCTCCCCTCCCTGGGAGCCCCAACACTTGCTGAGGAGCGAGGCACCCAGTTTGGGCGAGCCCCTGGTCGCATCCCGAGCGGCCGCGTGCTGAGCAGGGCAGCGCCTGGCTCCCCAGGGACGGCTCTTACCAGCCGGGATCCCTGCTCAGCGTCTGGCACGAGCCAACCTGCCCGTGCCCAGGTCCAGAGCCCATCAGCCCCGTGGGTACCACCCTGCTCTCCCCAGGTCTCGCTCAGCCTCCGCTCCCGACTTCGGCACCCGCAAGGACACTAAGGCACTCAGCATTAAGGCACCCAGATGGAGAGACTGCAGCAAAGTGTTTTGTGCTGGGAGGGATGGGGAGAGGACGCAGGGGGAGGGGAGGTGGTGGTGGGAAGGGGGGGGGGGATGAATCATTTCGAGGGAGCCAGATTTCCATATTCCCCCTGCTGGAAAATTAAAGTCTGCTCTGAGTTTGCATCCCAAATGTGATTGCTTTCGGATCCCTGCCTTGGAAGGCACGTACCTCTCTCAGCAGCCGGCCCTGCCGGGATCAGTGTCCATGCTGTCTACCTGTCAGCAGGCTCTTCCTTCTGTTCACGCTGAGCATCATATTTTCTTTGAACACCGAGGTAGTTAAAAGCTGCAACTTAAGGACTCGAGGGGGGGTGGAGGTGGACGGACTCACTGAGCATGAAAAGCAGCTATTGGCTCTGCCTCTCCGGCTGCTCTGCCACTGGGTTGGGCTGAACTCGTGTCATCCTTCCCCTCGGTTCCCCTTATTTCCCCGTCACTGTCCTTCCCCGCTCGGTGCCGGGAAGGCGGCGAGTTATTGCAGGATTATGACCCCCCCCCCCCCCGCGGCAGCGCACATCGCACCTGCCCCCCCGCGGGGCCGCTCGGGCAGATGCGAACGCTGCCCGAGACACCCCGCTCCCTCCCCGGGCCACGCGGCATATGGTGCGCGATTTTTAATTTCCTCGGGCCGGCGGTTCGTATGGCGACTGGCAGGTTTCTCATCGCGCTTTAGCAGGCCTTTGATTAACCCCCGGTAGATCCTTACGTGCCAACTGTCCGTATGGGCTGAACAAAGCACTTCCCCGATTCCACCGCTCCCTACTTCCTTCTCATTAACGGGGAGCTCTTCGTTTGAGCCCCAGCCAGGACAGCGAGATCATCATCCTGCCTTTAAAGCTGCCTCTCCCCACGTTATGGCAGGTGAGATCTGTTGCTGGGAAGAAGAGCCCGGCTATAATCCTTTTTCAAACCCTGCCTACCTGTTACATGTCAGCCCTGTGCAGGATCGATCTTGCCAAGTGAAATAGCTGAATGTTTAAATCAGTGGTAACAAGAGAATCCAGCTTTTCTTCAGGGCTGCTCTCTCAGGCTCTCTGCAAACACAGGTGGAGTCACTGAGTTTCACTCAGGTCCTGCTGGGAAAGCTTCCTCTGCAACCCCCAGCCCTTTTATTACAAAATTTGAGGTCCTTAATAACATGAGAAATTAGTCCACCCCCTTGACAAATCCCTGCTGCACCACATCTCTTGGGTAACAGACACCATTTCCAACAACATATATTGTGCTTGCAGATCAGCCGCAGGTTTATTCACTCTTCTGCATTAATTACTGATTCCTCCTGGGAACAGCTTTCACTCTGCAGACTGTTCAAACTGAGCCTGGGTCGGGGATGGTGTGTTTGAGCACAAACAGGCAACTGAGCAGCCTGGGTGTCTCTTCTGCTGAAAGGCTTCTGCTATGTGCAGTGGGAATGTCACTGCTTTAACTCCATCTCGTAGCAGCAAGGCCCTACGGCTTCTGAGTGTGGTCCTGGGCGCAGAGGCGGTGGGGGGAGCAGGGAGCCCCTCGCCTGGTGGGTTGTGGTCGATGAATGATGGTGGAGAAGCAGCCGCTGCCTCGGTGAGGATGCCTCTGATCCAGCTCTGCCGTCTCACTGCAGCATCGCCATGGCACTCGGGTCCTCTCGCTGGCATTAGGAGGAACAATCGCGTTGCATTTTGCACAGAAGGAGCATGGCAAATGGATTTGCCGTCTTCATGGGCTTTGTTTTTTAACAAAAGCAAAAAGTACTAAAAACGTAATCACTTTACGCTGCCGCTGTTACAAAACAAAGCGGAGTCTCGCTCATGCCTAGCAAACACTCGATCATTCACCTCTGTTCAGGCAGAGAAGGGGATCATTAGGACAGCAGATGCCATCAGGGAAATCCTTCTATTTGTTCCGTTCTTCAGCAGACACTGAGGTTGCACGAGCATCCCATTAGCTGTGTGCTAACTACGGACTTTGATATTTCTTTGATGCACAGGATGAAGATTTTGGCAGCACCTCTGGACCTGGGACACTGCTTCCTCGAGTTAAAGACCTCAGTGCCCTGGCTAGAGGCAAACCTCCAAAACCAGGTACAGCAGCTGACGGACAGGCATTTGTGATGCTGCTTGTGAGGGGCAGAGCACATTAGCACAGCGCTCAGGTGAACAGTATGGTGAGTTCCTGCAAAATTGCACTGTAGCACAAGAAATCTGACACTCCTGTGATTGCTAATGTGGTTATACTGTGTTTGCTGCTGGAAGGCAGTCGAGCCATGCACCCCCAGCTGCAGGAGTTTGACAGCCTTACAAGCTACAGGAGAGTTGCAGCTCAGCTATAGTTAATGTTGAGAAAACTGTTTCTAAAAGAGTGGTTACATCCTCTAAAATACACATATTGAGTTGAATTTCTATAGAACTTGCTTAGCTCCACAGAGGGCAGAAATAAGAGATAGCAGTCCATCATTGGGGATATTTCAGAGAGATACAGCTGCCCTAAGCCACAGCATTCTTACAAAGGCCCTGGTTCCTGCAGCAGCATGTGGGGGGAAGCACTGCCAGGTTTTTAAGTGTTTTTCCAAAATCCATCCGCTAGCGGGCAGCAGGACGAGATGCTGTTTATGGGAGAATTGAGATGTCGCCTGAGAATTGCAAGAGAAGGATCATTTGTCTTAAAAACATTTAACGTGAAGTCTAACACTTGTGACCCAGAAGAAAGCTGCAGATGTTTCATCCTGATCCTGTGCGATAACCAGCCCAAACCTCTGTGTCCTAGCAGGAAATCTGTGTGCAAGCTGGTCGTTTTTTCCTGGAGCATTAAAGCCCAGGCAGCTCCCACAGTGGAGCAGAAGTGACTTGCCCGGCGTTTCAGATGGTGTTGGAGGCAGGAGCAGGATGGGGACCCCCACAGGGCTGTGATCCCCCCTCCCTGCAGCATTTCCCATGGGCCAGGGAAGACTGCGTGGTAAAGCCCTGAATGTCCAAGGTGCCCAGCACTTACCACCGTGCACTCAAGGCTTTTCCACTCCTTCCCCATCCCACACGCCTGCGCAGGCAGATTTTTGGGGGGGAACCAGGAGTGGCGATGCTGTCCCCTGGCAGAACAGCTTTGGCAGCATCAGTGCCCCAGGTCGAGCTTTTGCAAGCACTTGTGTGTCTCCGTGTGTGCGTGCGTGGGCTGGGAGGATGGAGTTTTAACAGACCACAGGGCTGCTTCAACCCCTCCTCAGCCCTGGAGGAGTCCCTGTTTATCCCATGGGATATACCAGTGCTGGTCCCTGGGTGCTGGGAAGCCTGGGTGGTCTGAGCTGCTGGCAGCACCCAGGCAGTGCCAGGGCTGAGCAGAGGTTACTGGGTGCCCCAGTTCACCCTGGGTGAAGGCGATAGAGTGAGCAGAAAGGGTGGCACGGCCTTGTTTCTGCCTGTCTCAGCTGGGTTGCATGGGTGCAGGCTGGCATTTCCCAGCCAGTCATATCTCCAGAGGACCACGAGGTGGAAGCATTTTCCAAAAACTCCTGCGATGACCTCGGAGCGTGGGGGCAACCTGCCTCTGACTTGAACAGGGGGGACAGGACAGCCAAGTTGCTGGCTGAGGGGTGGCTGTGTCATGGAGAAAAGAGCTGAGAAGGGATCAAGTAGGGGCACAGATCACAAGGGTAAAAGTCCCTTCTCCAGGAAAATGCTCCTGCAATAACGATAATATTAGCTGCCCACTATCCAGGGAAAAATGTCTTGTATTCTGCACCTCAGAGGCAGAAATGCAGGAGCACACACTTCACGGGGTCATGCATTCATGTTCTGGACCGCCCATGCTTGCTGCATGCAGATGGCCAGCATTTGGCAGGCATTTGTGTGTCACTTTCTGCACCCCAGGTGCTGAGCTCAGACATCCTGGAGAAATAACTGGGTTCCTCTTTTTCATCCTGTAAACAGAGCTCCTGGACACCTGGATTTGTGGCAGCTCTCTGCAGCCCACTCCCCTTTCACAGGAGGGCCAACAGAGATAACCAGATGCCTCCCACGCACAATATCCTGCTGCTCAGAGCCAGCAAGTCCAACCAGTAGCCCCAGGGCTGTGAGCTCCTGCCTGCTTGGGTGGACCCGAGCTTCCCTGCGGGCCCGGCTGTGGGCAAGTAACACAGCCACGGGTTTGCCCCTTGGCCCAGCGTCGCACCCAGCCCTTGCTCATCACGTTTGAGGTGGGCTCGGGGTGCTGAGTCACGGCCGATCAGCTGTACCTTGTCCAGCCCGGGGAGCCCTCCCGCCCGGGGAAGGAATCCCTGGCACGTTGCTGGATGGTGGTACCAGCCTGCTGGGAGGTTGTCACAGCTCATGGGAGACATCGGATGGTGCTTTCCCAGCCGAGAGAGCTCGTCCAGGGTCTGGCACAAAGCAGGCTGGCGACAGAGCACCCCGTAAATATCATTCCTTATGGCCATCGGCCTGCGCAGTGATACTCTGCTCTCCTGAAAAACCTCAGTGGCTGTGCTGAAAGCACACATTTCCCTGAAATATTTTGTAAGTGAGGCACGGAGAGGATAAAGGACTTAGCAGCAGTGAAACAGCACTGAGACTCGCCTCTGCTGCGGGGGGGTCCTCTTCAGTGCTCCGCTCTGCCACATGATCCCACTGACCTTGGGCAAGTCCCTTCACCTCTCCTCCGCTTGTGATGCTGGAGCCAGACTCTTCTTTGTTAGCTGCAGGTGTGGAGGGGATAAATATGGTAAAAACCAAGGAGGAGATCATATATATAGCCAGCTAAATGGGTACTGCGCTCCTTTTGACAGATGATCCCACAGTCAGGGGGTGCTTGGCTTCCAGATGTTTGAGGGTGGGTTACAAGCAGCACCAGCTTCTAGGCAGGACTCACATTCCTTGGCTTGCACAGAGAAGTAGCTTAGTCTAGCATCCCTGTATGTGACAGAATAAATGTGCAGAGTCTAGATTGGTATGCAAGAATGCCTTGACATTTAGCCTTCCCTTGTGTTTGTTTAATGAGTAAACAGCTAAAAATAAGTTGGTTATACCCAAGGGGCTTTTGAGTAGCACTAAACCAAGAGAGTGAAGGCTGTATGCTGAGTAACAGAACTGGTATTTTCCTCTCACTCTCAGTTCTACATCAAAGTAGTTTTAGGGACTTTATTTCTTCCCAAGGTGAATCAGCGTGAGCACAAGGAGAATCAGCCTCAGCAGCTGCAAATGTAGTCCTCTTCTGTGGTGCTAATTGATTTTATCTGTGAGACAACAAAAGAGCAGATTTATCCAGAACAGTCCTGCCTTAAACCTGTATTTGGCTTTTTTTTTTTTTTTTTTTTTTTTTTGGCACGGAAGTGCCTTAACAGCATCAATGTCTGGCCTGCAGGAACGCCTGTGCTGGCAGACGGTGGGTGGGTGCTGGATC